TATCCGGTTTCACCAATAATGGACTTGTAGTCAATCCTGTTTCATTGATGCTCTCTCCCCTTACTCCGTTTTGAATTACTTTGATCATACACATCACATCATTTCACTGACAGTTTTTATATTGCCTCTCCCACACTAAGATTTACACTATCATATTTCATTATTTGTGGCAATTTGTACAAGATTTTATATATAAATGGGTGTTTGTAATGAATATGCAATATATGTACATATGAATCTTTATCCTTTTTATGTTTTGATTACTACTACTCATCATGGCCATATCCACATACAATATTTCCACAACAACTCTGCACTGGAGATAGAATCATTATAATTAATTATGGATATGAATAGAGCGCCCACTGAGGAGTTGGTGATTATCCCCAAACTCTTTGATACCAGAAGTGCCCTGGTTCTATGAGGGGAAAATGACAGTAGGTCTTCTGATCCCAGTATGTATCAATGACAATTGCTAAAGCATCTCCTACCTATGACATACTTATGAACCCAGCCTAATTCCATCTTAAATTTGGGAGCCACCTTGGCACAAAATCATGAAAAGTTAATTTCTGTTTTACTATAAATTACTGTGATTTCTAAACTTGTTTGGAATTGCTGCCCGTGCCTTGCACTCACCCATACCTGGCTTTCCCTGACCAGATAACAACCCTCTCTGAAACCTCAGTGGCGCCTCATAAATTCTGGTGTTGAGATCTAAATTTATTCCCTACCTTGAAATGTTAAGCCATGTAGATCATTAACCTACTATCTGCCTTTGTATTATGCTTGTCAAAATCCTGTTATCTGTATTTCTCAAGACTCCCCCATTTTGCAACTTTTTGTGCTATAAAACTGTGTTCCTGATCTCTAGCTCAGGGTTTTTGGGAGAGATAGTCCTGGCCAGCTCCAGTATACACCAATACAAGCTTGCTTTAAAATTGGAGTTGGTGTTCTTTTCTTTGCGTAGGGGTTTAACAATACCTTACCCCAGCAAGCATTATTCTTCTTTGCCTTCTCAGATTAGAAAATATATTTGCTTTGTAACATAACCTTGATATTATTTCTAGGGAAATAAAAATCCTGGGTTATTATATTAAAGGACAATTACCTCCTTTAGGTTTTTATTTTTAAAATTTCAAATTTAATTAAGTTCTCTGTGTAGTGTGCTCATGTTTTTAATTGATTTTGTCACACTGAAAATCCTTCAGAGGCTATTTTATTTTAAATAAAATTCAGTACAAAGATCTTAACATGATCTTTTTTCCCCCTCTAACTTGACCTACAGCTGTCCCCCTCCCCAACCTTGATACCTCCCACCTCTCGGGCCTTCTTTAAGATTCTGGATCTTCTTTACCTCAGGAACATCCCACAAATCTATTATATGTGCCTGAAATGTTCTTGTCTCTATTTTGCTTCATGTGGCTGAGTTTTAAAACAATATTCCAACAGCATTACAGAGAGTACTACTATATCTATCATTTAGAACAGAAAACTGGAAGAAATAAGGAGGAGGTAAGAATACCATAGAAAATACTCCTGGAATCAAGCTAAAAGATGAAGACAACTCATGGTAAAAAAAAAAAAAAACAAAAAACATAGAGATACAGGTATGCTAGATAATACATCATTATCTTGCCAATCTAAATATTTTTTCCAGACTCTGTTTCCTTCCTATTTATAATGAAGCATATATCCTTCAATAAACTTTTTTCTTTTTCAGATATTGTGTTAAGTGCAGGAAGTACAAAGAAGAATAAGCTTGAGTCTGAGTCCTTAAGGAGCTGAGAAAGATGAGAAAACTAAATAAAATGTTTTAACTCATACAGCCAGGAACAAAGGGGGAAAATACCTTGGTTATCAGTGAGGAAATGGCATTTGAGAAACAAGGAAAGTTATCCCAGACAGAAGGAATAGTATGAACAAACTCACAGGCCTTTCAAAGAGCATGATGTGTTAGAAATGATAACTGGTTAACTAAATACTGAACATTTCAAATGTTCATGTTACTGAATAGAGAAAGTAGTCTATGGTGGTTGTTTTGTCTTCTTTGAGTAGTACCAATTATTACATTAGCTATTTTTCCACCTTTGAAATATCAAAGAAAATGAACCAGTGACATAATGTGGGATCAATAATTGATGTTTGAGGAACAGCATGCTAGAGAACAACAATGACTAATGAGGGACTGGTAGCAAGCACTGTTCTTTGGATTTAGCTGAAGAGATTGCTATCACCTATAGTGGGCAGGAAAGATTTAATGGAAATGATAGGGTTTCCCTTGGTTGTTCAAAAAATATAGTTGAACCTTATTATTTGCAGATTCTGTATTTGTGAAATATTTGGTGAAAAATTTGAGTCACCCAATGTTCATGTTCCCCGCTGAGGTTGAACAAGGGGATCCTTTGCCTTCTTTTTTTAACTCCCATACTGGAGACAAGTGTCCCTTCTCAGTCTCTTTATTACCATTTAAAAACAAAATTTTGTGCTTTTTTTGTTGATAATTTTACTGTTTAAAATGATCCGCAAGTATAATTCTGGAGTGCTGTTTAGTTATATGCAAGAAGGCTGTAATGTTTCTTATAGAGAAAAATACATGCATTACATAAGCTTTGATTAGGCATGAGTTATAGTGTAATGAGTTCAATGTTAATGAATCACCAATATATATTAAATAAGATGCTTTAAACAGAAACACAGAAATCATGATTATTTGTTGACCAATTGACAAAAATGTGACTAGAGGCTCACAGGTATCTAACCCTGCATTTTCCCTAGGAGAAATGGTTCCATATTTGCTAATTCAGCATTTGCAGATGTCTATGGAACCCAACTACTGTGATTAAGAACTGACTCTATATATCAGGGGCTGATGTTGAAGTAGAGGATTAACGTTATAGTCAAAAGAAACAGATAATAGGATAATTATTAAAACAATGAGGGCTTTATTCATAGAAGCAAGCACAGGCTGATGTGAGAAGGACTATCACTTTAAAGCAGTAAGGTCAGGGATGGATTTTTTGAAGGTGACTATATGCACTGAATTTTGACAGGTAAGTAGGAATCTTTCAAATGAGAAAGAGAGGAACATTTTGCAATGGCTCAGTTTAGTGAGAGAACACAGTTCTTTCAAGGAACTTAAACTAGTTCAGGATGACTAGAAAAAAAGGCTGAAAGGTTTTTGAGAGAAGTTTCTAGGCAACTAGGAAGGAGTTTGATACAGGAAAGGCTTTATACAGGATGTTAAAAATTCTGTTTATCCTGAAGACAATGTGGAAGATGATGAAAATTTTAAGCTCTCTTTTTAGACATGATTAGAGCCAAGTTTTAGAATTATTGCTGTTAAAGACAATGACGATGATGGCAATTGAAGATGAACTGATATGAGGGCAGCTTAAAACACAGAGATTAATTAACTATTGCTATTGTTTAGGAAGAGCCAGAAAAGACCTTAAAACATGACAGTAGCATTGGTCTTAGAGAAGGATGGGAAAAGTTTGAGCAGTTAGAAAAAGAAGTGCAGGCATTCTTTGCGGGAAATAACATGAGCAAGCAATTTACTTGGATTCTCTGGTATTTGATAGACGTTTGAAAGGCTTGTGTGGAGAACCAGAGTTATGGAACAGTTAGTGACTAGTTTGAAAATATTGGTGAAGTCAGTGGAAAGGCTATAAAATAAAATAAGATTTCATTCTCTCAACATTAAAATTATAAATTTTATTATAACATATGCACTTATCATTTTAATTATACAATCCAATGGCATTTAATATATACAAAATGTTGTGCAAACAGCAACACCATTCCTCTTCATAATAACTCTTATCATCCCAAACTGAAATGCTATCTCCAATGAAAAATAACTGATGTCTTTTTCTCCCTGCCTCCTTTTTCATGTCTCATTCTTGGGAGCCACCTTTCTATTTTTCTCTCTCACTACAATAACTCTAGAAACCTCATGTAAGTAAAATCATGAATGTTTGTACTTCTGTTTCTGGCTTATTTCACTTATCTAAATCACTTAACACCGGTTATTCAGTAGCTGGATTCTAATTTTCATTCTACTCTAGATTCTATATTTTAGAATAAATGTCTAGCTTTGTACTTGATTTTTTTTTTTTTTCACTTAATGTTTAAGGGCATTTCATTCTAGGAAATTATAAACTCAGAGTTCATAAGGACAATTTCGTCTACTACTGGGTCTCCCATACAGAACTTTATTGGTCTATTAAGTGTCTTCAGTTTGTGAATACTTTCATTTCAATTACAGTTCATGAATTTTAGACCCTTTGCAAAGTTCCATTTAGTCTTAACGGGAGCATAAAATAAATAGAACTCAGGAATCAAACTTGAAGGGAAATTTACTTTCTGGGGATGTGATATGAAAGCTCTCTTTTTTGATACAAGGTAATTTCTCTTGAGATAGAGAAATCCGCTCTACTTTAAAACGGAACACCCCACGGCTTATCTTTTCCACGGCTTATCTTTCAGGTGGTTGGAAAGTATCCGAGAGCTGTCAAAGTTACTTCAAGTTTTGTCTTGGGGGCATCCCTAGGTCATTAGGGTTTTGTCTGTAAGTCGAGTAATTTTGGAGAGGACACTAATCCTTTGGAGAGTTAGTGGTTTAGCTTAGGCTAGCCCGTGTTTTCCAATCTTGTCCACACCACACAGTATAAGGTTTTGGTAGGCTACTAAGGTAAACATGCGCAGCAGACCGCTCTCAAGGGGCTCTCCATCCCGCTTATTCTTTCCAGTTGACACGCGACAGCCCTCACACCGAGGGTGAGCTGAAGGTCTCGCAGATTCTGCCTTTCGGATCTCGTAATCAGGTTTTGTCTTTAGCCTTTAAGAGAGCCACAAGGTAAAACGGAACCAGGCACGCAAACCACGCAGACACGCACAAACCAAACCATCCTACTTGTCCAGTGCGCACTCCGCCGAATTTACGTCTCTTCCCGGCAGTCTCCGGGAGTCACCGCGAGACTTCATTAATTCTCGCGAGATTTATCGGCAGCCATCTTCTTGGGGGTGCTGGGAGCCGGGAAGACCCCCCGAATCGTTCCCATTGAGCTGCCCTTCGTCTTCGCTTTCTTTACTTTTGCCTCTTGCGTTGCCAACAAGCACCTAGTCCCGAAGCTGAGAGGAAGCCCGGGTCTAAGCGCGTTTCGCGCTCCCGGTTCGGGAAGACTCGCTGGGGAGTAGGGAAGGGGGAGGGCCCGGGCAAACCGTTGCTGCCTCAGCCCAGGCCGGGGTCCGGGAAGGGGGAGCTCCTAGCACCCCGAGGACTCGCGGCCTGCGGCGATCCTCCGCGGAGCTGTTCGCCGATCGGGGCTCGCGGGAACCTGCCACCGGCGCCTCCCACCGCGGCCCGCGCGGGCGGCGCGCGGAGGAGGGGGCGGGGGCAGCGGCGGCCGTAGCGGCTGCGACCTGGGCGGGCGGAGGAGTGTGACGGGCCTCGGGGCCCCTGTGGATGGTTTCTAAAATGATCATTGAAAACTTCGAGGCACTCAAGTCCTGGCTCAGCAAGACTCTCGAACCCATGTGAGTATCCGGGGGATATCTCCTTGCAGGGATAGCTGTGGTGGATAGGCAGACACTTAGATCTGTGGTGTTTCCCCAAAGTGCCTGCGGTGGAGGCCAAAACGGTGATCAGAGGTCCCAGGGCTGTTTTCTCCTCTGCCACTCTCGCGTCCAGGTCCAAGTATAACGCCGAGAGCCTGAGCTGAGCTTTATTTTATCAGGGAGCTGAATTTTGAACCGGTGTGTCTCTCGTTTTCCCGTTATGTGTAGACCGACCTCAGCCTCCTCGCACACACGTTTTCTGAGGGCCTCAAAATCCGTTTCTTTTTCTTTTAGTGAATTCGAGCATAATCTCCTGTCCTAAGACTCTTTCACTTTTTAAAAAACGAAATGGGTGGCCTCTATTAGACATTAGGACAGTTCTAGTTAAATATCTCATGTTTCACTTAAATACAATCACTAAAAGAAAGGCCACGTCTCCCATGTGCTGTCTGGCTCATCTGCACCACTTCTCTTAACTGATTGAAGATGTAACAGGTGCTAGGATTCCCAGTAAAATTCCCTTTTCCCGCCTACACGTTCGTTCACTTGGAGAGGTGGGAGAAAATTCAGTCTCCATCCATCTGGAATATTAGTTTTAAGTGGAATGCTGTAAGTGGCCTGGGCTTACGGGTGAGTTTAGAGTTCCGAAATGTCTTCTGTTGGAAATTTTAAGGAGTGTTTTAAACACTTACCTGTTAATACAAAATAAATCATGGACTGAGTGCTTTATCGGATTTGGTTGGTTTACAGTCAGCAATTAAAATACAAAGGGGAAATTTAAGACATTTATTAAGCTCCTGTTATGAACTGTGAGAGGCTTTGGGAACAGAGCTTTTTAAGTTTCAAAGCTACAGGATGTAATAAACAAGTGAATAGGTCCATTTCAGATATTGATAGTATCAATAGTGTTATGACCATTGTAATCATAGAGGATCATGTAAAAGAGTGATTAGAATTGGGGCTACTTCACATAGGATGGTCAGACAGAAGGCCTTTGAATAGGTCACATTTTAGCAACATTTAAAGAGGGGAAGGAACCATCTGTGTGAAAGTCTGAGCAAGGACCATTCTTTGCAGAATGGAGAGCAGATGCAAAGGCCCAGCCAGTAGCAGACATGATCCTGTTGTGTTCCAAGGAAGAGAAAGGCCATTGTGGCTGTAAGGTATTTTGTGATGGGGAAGTGGAAAGACATGAAGTTGGAGAAGTAGCAGGGCCAAGTCATATAGAATTTTTTAGTCCATGATGAGGAATCAGGATTTTATTTAAAGTGTAATACAAAGATATTAGAAGATATAAAGCAGGCAAGGACTAATTTAATTCTGCCTGCTTTGTTTAAAGGAGATTAAGGGGGAAAGAATGAGATGAAGGAACCTATTCTGACGGAGATGTGGTTGTTTGCATTAGATAGTGGAGACAGAAAGAACCAAATATATTTCTTAAGTAGATCTAATAGAATGTGCTGATAGATTGGCTATGGGAGATGAGGAAAAGGGAAATCAAGGATGATGCCAAAGAAGTTAGTCTAAGCAACTATAGTAGGCTGAAAGAGAACAGGTTAGGGGAGGAGGGAAAAGTGATTGGCTTTGATTATTAAGTATGAGGTATTGTACACCTAAATGAGATGTCAATTAGGAAGTTGGATATATGATTCTAGAACTCAGGTCAGCACTAGAGAAATTTGTAGTCATGCAGGTGATATATAAAGTCATAGTATTGTGGGAGATGTCCTAGGAAGCGTGCTTAGGGAAGAGGGGAGGCCTAGAACTGAGGTAGAAAAACTGGGCTGTATGTTAACTAAAGAAAGAACAAATGTGTGACAGAAGAGAATCATTAACTTGATAGAAAACTGCAGAGTGGATGAAAAAAGATAGAGGCAGATAAGTGGCCCTTAGATCTGAGGTGGAGGTCATTGGTAATCCTGGCAAAGTAGTTTCATTTGAGTGGAATAGTGCAGATGGAAGTTGTATTTCAGGGGGCTGGAATATATAGCCTAGTGATAGACCATGTTCTTAGTGTGTTCAAGGCCCTAGGTTTAATCCCCAGGACCCCAAGAAAACCCCAAATCAACAAAGATAAAAAAATAAAGTAGTTCTATTGCAGTGGAATGAAAAGAGCACAGCATAAGAGTTGAGAGGGAAGAACTCTAGGGCCTAATGGCTTGTACCTCTGCCACTTAACTAGCAGCTGTATCATATTCAATAAGTTAATGCCCGTGTTTCCTCATCTGTAGAATGGGGAGAATAATATATATAAAGAAAATCATAGAACACTGCCTGATATGTGCTTAGCACTTGATAAGAAGTTAAAAGAAAACTTTGGAAAATGTTTTGGGTTGATATAACTTCCATTTTTTTGTAAACATTCAGTTTTTAAATTTGAACAACTGAGTATTCAGTTTCAAATCAGCTGTACTGTCAGTTCCCCTTTTCTTCATTAACCTGAAAGAGATTATTTGTAACTACTTGTGTTGCTGTCTCTTTAGTTCCATTTCTTTTAGATGATGACTTAACTTATCCTAATTCTTTTTAAGACAAGTGGTTTCTAACTTTAGTTTGTTATCCAATGGGGTTTTTTTTTTGGCTTCAGTTTAACATTGTAATTGAAAAACTACACCTGTTTGAGAGAGGAGCATAGGAAAAACCAAGGATAAGATATAACTTGAGATTTATATAGAACTTTTAAGCGACTTATATTAGTATTTTATGGTTTTGGATTTATCACAGATTTTAAATGATTAATTCTGCAAATTTTAATTGAGCACTTGACCTATTACTCAAGTGTTCATTGGTGTGCCAGATATTGGGGAAATATTAGGAAACAAGACACAAAATGACTGTCTTCATATCATTTACCATTTGGAAGGGAAGACAGATGTTGAACAAGAAATTACAAAATTGTGGGGTTTTCTTAAGGTCAAAATATATAAATGCTGTGAAAATACATGGGGAGGTAAGGAAAGGCCTTCCTAGCATACTAACATTTGATCTCAACTTGGAAGGATGAAGAGTAGTTTGCTAGGGTGAAAGAATGGAAACAGAGACCCATGAAAGCATGCCATTCTCAAGGTTTGGGAGAACAGATTGTACAGAAGTCCTAAAAAGAGAAAAAAGGTGTCTTGGAGGGATTCAAAGAAATCGAAAAAAGAGCAAAAGAAGAATAGTAGTAGAGAGTTCCAGAGAGAGGAGCCAGATCACATAGTACTTTGTTGAGTCATGTTAAGAATTTTGGATGTTATTGAAGGATAGAGGGAAGCCAATGAAAGGTTTTAGGGCAGATGAGTTTTCAGATTGATGGAGATGAGGTTGGGTGAATGCCTGGTTGCATTTTTTAGCATGAAATAAAAGTTTGTAAGTCTGTATTTTATTTGGTTATGAGTTTTGTAGTTGGATCAGTGTTTTAAGTTTGTTTTTTAAATTATTGAAAATGTAGATATTAAAATGTCATTTGTTGTCTCAAGCATTTGCTTAGTCATACTTGTTAATAATAATGTAAACCTAGATGTTGGTCTGTCCTCTAACATTCATGTGAAGTCCTTGGACAAAAAATTAAACTCTTTTGTTCTTTTTTGTTTGTTTTTTAAATATAAAAATTTTTCTGCTCTATTTAAAAAAATTTTTTTATAGGCTTACAATCACTAAATGTCCACATTTTAATCATATTATAGACTTTTTAAAAAAAATACACCTCAAGATGTAGTAATCAGACTCTTCAGTTTTTCAGAAAACAGCAGGATAGATTTAATGTTGTGCTCAGATTCTGGAGTTTAGTTGGGAAGAATAGAATACCTCCTCTTTTGCTTTTGTGAGATGCTGTGGAGGTAGTATTGTATAGTGGAAAGAGAAAAAGCCTTTTGTCTACATAGATCAATATTCAGATTTCACTTTTGCCATTTATTAGCTGAGTGCTAGGCAAATTAACTTGTCCTTTCTTTTTGAATATAATAGGGAGAATTATACTGGTTTCTGTCTGTAATTGCAAGGATTTAGTGAGACATATATTAAAGAACCTAGCTTTTCCCTCTTTCTTACATACTGGTTGATTAAACACTAATAGGTTACACTACTATTGTTATTGTTTGTATTGTCTTTCCTAATACTGCTGCCACTACCATCTTGACATTTGCATGCATTTTTAAATGTTTTGTATTCCAGGTTTTATTAGACATTGTTACCTGTGTTTTGCAGAAGATGACACTGAGGCACTGAAGCACAGTTGATACTTCTTCACAGTGGTTTGAACTCAAGCTTTTTAACTCTAGAGCCATGACTATTCTTAATTTACTACTACACAATAGTGGGTTTTTTTTTTTCAATTTCTATATGTACTTTTTTACTTTTCTATTTTCCTAGTAACTTTATTGAAAAAGAAAAAATTCTAAAGTATAGTGGTTATTGATCCTTAGCAGAGATTAATCATGAAACTTCCTTGGAGTTTTTGTGGTGTTTTCCCCATTATCCACAATTATTACTATGAAGTATACCTTTCTCACCACATTAAAGTTTATTTTGTTCCTAACTTAGAGGAATAAGTGTTCTTTGGAGTTTGCAAAATGATCTTTTTCCTTCTGAAATTTTGATCATGTTGACCTCTTTTTATCTTTCCCTTTCTACTGGCTCTTTTTGGCCAAGTGAGTCAGTTTTCTATTCCATAAAGAAGAAAGACTCAACAAGAGTAGTAGCAAAAATAAAATTGTATTTTTCTTCTAGTCACTTTTTTGCTGGCTTCATTTTCCTTTCACTGTTAAATTGTGAAATCCAATACTTTTTGCTTATTTGCCCTATTTCTTAATCCCTTGTAATATAATTTCTTACCATGCATATTCAGCCAAAACTGCTTACCTCAGTGTTATCAATGAATTTTTGTTTACCAAATGTAAAGACTAAAGTTTTAGGGGTTAGGGTGGTAGCTCAGTGGTAGAGTGCTTGCCTTACACATGTGAGGCACTGGGTTTAATCCTCAGTACCACATAAAAATAAAC